AGTACAACTCTTCCAAAAATCTCATGATCATAGGGTTTGCCCCTATGCTATGCTAACGTTCCTAAATCTAATATTGCTAAAACTGCGCAAGCTGGCAAAGATCATAAGCTCTGGAACATGGACCAATTTGTTAAGAAAGGAAAAGGAAGCAAAAGCAACATCCTCCTCATGAAACATCACAACCCACTGATAGAGGAGACTGGATAAGGCTTAGCAAGCCAACAGGAAATGAGCAATAGAAGAGTCCCAAAGAAAAATCTCAGACCAAGATTTTTAGCTTTGAAGGCTAACTTAATCAACTAATCTAAACTTGTTTGTCCATATAGGAAGCAAAACTGTCATAGAATATCTCAAGTTGGAAGGGACCCATATGGTTCATCATTTAAGATTCACATAAAATCTTTAAGTCCATATATTTAATTAAAACAAATGGCATCTCACATGGTAGATAATTCTGTAACCATTCGTGCAGCGTAAGGTACCACACGGCTTGTGCACTCAAAGTGATTATGGGTGCTTCCTATATACAAAGTAATAAGCCTGTGAGGGAAACCACTCATGCATTTTAAGAACTAACATTTCCCATTACAGACCTGACTACACACAGTCCATGAAAAAGCCCTCACTGAGCCATGCTGAGCCTGAGGAACACTAGCACTGTCTCCTTCGTACATGAGACTCCCACAGAAGCCCAGCGAGCATGTTTCACAGGAGGCTAGAGTTCAAAGGGAGCAAGGGACTACAGTAGTGGGACCCCATAACTTAGGTATAAGAAGCTAGCAACCAATAAGCTGAAGACACTTGCAAGAATACAGCAGGAATTTTTGTTCACTAACAATCCAAAACTGGGTTTGAACACAATGTTTTAAAGTTTCACCTATCTGGAGACATTAGTCAATTGGATACTTACAATGTCACAGTCTTTCTTTCCATCACGTTTGATTGGCTCATTCAGGTCCTCTTGACTACGGAAACTAAATTTTTCAATCGCTTCTGTGACTCCACGAAGAGAGCTGTAGATTTCATCAGAATTTAGGTTCTCCGTGTCATAATCCAGCATACTAAAGACCAAACGTATATGAAATGTTACATATGAAATTGGAATCTGCTTTTGACTTAAAAAAAAAAAAAGAAAAAAACAAAAACAAAATGCCAAGTCGAAGACAGATGATTTGGTGTACCCTTTCTAACAGTGACTTGTAACAAAACATGGATGGAATCAAAGCAGACTTCGGGTCTGAGCCTCCCCTCAAACAGGGCTAAGTCTAGGAGAAGCTTCACTGCAATCAGTGGTGTAACATTGCTGTGAGGGGAAATCAGGTCCACTGTTTGTTAGATTCAACAGCAGTGAGTGTGCTAGCTTTTGCAAACCAAAATCCCTATCCCCAGCATGGTAATGGTGTTATTTAAAGAGGAAAATAAAGAAAATCAATCACTATGAGAACTCAAAGGGTTGTGACAGCTGGTGGAAATGAAGTCAGTGAAACTTAAGTTCCATAATATATCAAATATATTCTATCAATGGATTCAAATGTGACAGATTTAAATGGAGAGGAAAATGTATCTTGACATAAACCTTAGACTAACGTGTCCCATTTTCATTTATAGAGTACTAAAACCAAAACCACTTGTATTTCAGTATTGTATTTCAGTATTGAACCTAAGTTTGGGAATTCTCTCACTCAAATCTGATGCTTTCTTGCGGACTGTTTCTCAGAAATTCCTCAGCAGCATAAAGCCATGCAAGTTTTGGGATTCCTTGAGGAGTTATCCAAAATTCAGTTCCATAAAAAAATGCCTGGCATGCAAGGGCAGATGATATGAAAAGATGTGGCTTAAGAGACGCTCCTACAAGCTTGAATAAAATGAAAAGTCATTATTGGCAGGGCTTTGCTCTATCTAGGAGAAGAAGTTGAGTTTGCAGGAAAATCAGTTTTCCAAGAGAGATTTAATGAAGTGACCCAGTAACTGAGAACAACTTCTCTGGGGGAGTCTCGGATCTTAGTGGAGCCAGAAGCAAATAAACCAAAAGAATTTGAGACATTTACATCAAGTTGTTTGTCAATAAATGGCAAGAAGCGGCTCTCTACAGGGGTGAATTACTATTTCTTAACAGTTGGGGAAGGATGACAGGATGGGCTTGGAGGAGGACAGCTGAACAAAGAGCTGTGTTCCTGTTCCACAAAAGAAAGATTCCCTGTGAGGTGGGTGGGGAAAAAAATAAAAACCAGAAAGTCCCTTCTGAATCCTGGGTACACAGCTATTATTTTCAATAGAACTAGAAGTAGGATGTTAAATATCTAAACCCACTTTTTTTCTGGAAGAAATTCAAGAACTTCAGATGGATGATAAGATTGGTGCTGCCCAATTCCTTTGGGATTAGCACACTGAAAATAGCCATAATCCCCAGCTCCCAAGCAACGTGCTCATTCTATGATCACACAAGCATCAGTGCCATCATATTCTGGCAAAGAAACCAAAGAACAACTCCCCAACTTTAAACAGTGTCTGTCAGGCCAGGGAGAAGGAGAAATCACTTAAAGAACAGACCAAGACCAGGAAACAAAAGCTGTTTATAAACCTATGGCAGTCAAAGTGTTTAGGGCTTTTCAGACAGCTGAATGACACTAATGCACTGTGATGGCTTTCCAGATAAAAGTGAAGGCAGTTTTTAGATTCTTTATAAGTATCAGGCAGGGATAGAACCACCTTTGTTTCGTATGATTTCAAAAATATTAATCTTGAGCTCAAGCACGTTTAATTCATAGATCTTAAGGGGTTACTCGTACAATATTTAAGTGAGCAATGAAACCGCCATTCAATACGGTTATGACTATGTGACTATACCCATGTACCCACACCAAGAGATGCCATGACTCACCAAAGGTCACACAATGAAATCCATGGCAAAAACTGAGAAATAATCACAGATACACTGACACTAAATCTTCTGCTAAAATCATCACTTCTTTCCTCAGGGATGAGTTTTGCCCTAGACTGCTACCAAAGAATAGATCAAAGAACAGAATCTGCAATGCTAAAGGACTAAGGCAATTTCTCAAAGAGCCACTGATTTGATGCATTTTTCAAAGAACAAACCGACATTTTAACAAAAATCTAAATAATCCAGTGGTTTCATATGTCAAGAGTAAGCCTGTGCAGGAGATCACATTATGGCTGTGTTCTACATGAACAAAAACTCTACATGTGAACACACATGTCTATTGACAGTATGTGTGCCAGAATACTTCACAGACAACACAATGCGGGGAATAAAAAATAAAATGAAACTACACCCACCTTTCAGGAAAAAGAAAAGGCACAAAAGGGAAAAAAAATTATGACCCATGCAGAAAACTAGAGGAAAGTCACAGGATGAATAAGAAGTGAGTAGAGATGAGCGGCGTTTTAGGGATGTCACAACATTATTTTCCCTCTTTTGCTGCACTAAAACAATGCAGCTCTCTACAAGTTTATCAAGATAGAATTTGGCAGCTTTCTAGTATGACATAAAACACTTTTTACTTCCATAAACTATTATTCAGTTTCCAATCCAAACTATGTGTAAGTAATCAACAGTTAATCAACAGTTTAGCATCCTCAAGCAGTACACAGTAACCCACTTCCTTGCACTTTCAGGCTCCAGCCTGGAATATACGTCAAACTATTCCAAACCTTGGTGTCAGCTAATGGAAGGAGGAAAAAATTCTCAACTACTTTACCTCCAAAACTCTACATGGATCTCTTCCACAGATAGCTTAGTGTCCTAAAAGAGTCAGAACATTGATTTAAAATTTTAATTCTGCAAGTATTCAGAGGTATGGACAATAGGATGCTACTTTCCCCTCTCAGGCGTCGCAGATTCTCAGATTTTGAGCTCTCAAAGAACAATGTTTGATTTTCTTTCAATAGTTTTTCATTAGGAACTTCCTGTTCCGAGGAAAGACTTTATATAATCCTTCCTCAGGTAACAGGTATATTTAAGTCAGGAGAAACCATGTCTACAGAAAGCCTGTTGTCAGGGTATAAACTTAAAAAAAAAAAATCCAATGAGTTTAACATAGAGGTCTTGAGGTCTCACAAATTAAATTTGTATTCAGAAGGTTTTTTTGATTAAAACCAGTATATAGCTTTAGTCCACTATAATGATTAAAGATCTGTATTCAGATTGGAACAAAACACGAGGGCACAGGAGGAGTAAGAGATGTCAAAATTAGCAATCAATAAGCTTTAAATCTTGTGGTAAGGACAATTTTAATTTCAATACTACAAATTTCTAAGATGTTCCACAGTCACACTGTACAAGCAGCTGGCAAAATCATATATGCAAGCTTTGTCCTCATTGTCCTATGGGTATTCACTACAGCAGATGTGAAATCACCACTGAGCTGTATTTGCCTGTTGAAAGTACTCATGTACTGCTTGCACAGTATAGGCAAGTTGAAAGACCTTGCCCATCCTATCATAGCACAACCAGTGCCTGCTGAAAGTGCTCAATAACTGTGTTCTGCATTGGAAACCAACTGTGAATCGTACACCCATTCAGGAACCTGTTGGGGAAGAAGAGTCTGGAAAAAAAAAATCCACTTCAATTTTTTTCCACTTGCATGCTGCATCTTCCCCAAGCAGCAAACAAGCAGCTGTCTACCACCTCCACTCTCTGAAAGCTATCATCATAGTTTTTTCCTTTTCTGACCAAAGCCTCCGCAAATCATTTACCACATTTGAACAAATCCCACGGTGTGAAAGGTAAATAATACTGTGACATCTCAGACAAGTTGGTTTAACAGGTAGCTTGTTACCTGGGAGAGTAAGAGCGTCTGAAAGTCTTGTGGGAAGGAGCAGTGGGGATGGAGTTAGGCTGAGAAAGGGGAGGGGGGTGCTTCGACAGCCCATCTGCACTCCAACCCCAGAACCGACTGCCGTGATCAGAGGAGAAACGAAAGAGAGAAAACAGAGAAAGGAGAGGGAGGGGGGGAAAAAAAGAAACTATAATCTGAGTGGCTTAGTGCTGTCATGCTGCCTTGGAGAGAGAGAAAAAAATTAATAGAAACAAAATTAAACAAGAATACTCCATTGAGCCTCACAAATCACTGTTTTGGCCTTTATTATTTATTTCCACTTTTATTCCTAACATAATGATATGGTTCACACAAAAATAGTCCCTGTTTGTACTAACCAGTAAATTTTACAAATGGATATAGCCTCTATAAACAACTCTGAAAATGCTCTAAGTAAACAATCTCTGACCATGCATCTGTATTCGAACTCTGAGCAGGCATTTGCGAGCAACAGGATTTCCCTGGAAGAAAGGAAAGTTGGAGTTGATATTTTTATCAGACACACAAAGGTAGCTTGTCAAGTTTGGCTCCTGGTGCCTCTGTGAGAGCCTGCAATCAGGCCCTACACAATCAGCAAACCTTTGCAGTGCTTAAGATCTGATCCTATTTCACCAGATTCAAACTGATCCCAAAAATGCAGCAAGTGAAAGTCAGTCCAGAGTGTAAACATATAATGTAAATTGGGGACTTGACCCAGGTCTCAGCAGACTAACCTAGAAAGACTGGATGAAACCAGCCTCCAAGTCAATTCAGATCTCTCCTCAAACTTCCACAAGCCCCTTCTGGTTACTGTTTGATCGTGCGCCATCAGGTGAAGGCATCCATCCCTGTGCCAATTTGTCTAACCTTTGCTTTTGTCCTGTTCCCTTTATGGTACATGGGTTTTCAAAATCATCTTCTAAATGAGAATATAGATGCTTGAGCTGGTGGAGTATTCAGGACACTGCTTTGTTTCTATTAAGTTTAAGTACACTGCCTCGGAAAGTCACATTTGTGATACACAAGTGAAAGATATTGCAAGATCAGAAGTGGCGAAAAAGTCAGGAATTGCTCCAGTGCAAACACCAGCAAAGCCAGCTGAAAACTCCTCTGAAAAGTGGTGTCAAGAAATTCACTCGTTAACCAGCAATCAAACCCCATAGCTATTACATGCAACTATTGCAGAAATACACCACACACCCAGGCTGCTGATCAGAAATCTCCCAGCTCAGGTCTCACCTACTTGCAAACAGGCCACCAAACAACGCAGGCTTGTCCTTACTGTGTAAGGTGGATGGCTTATTTTAATTCTTTTTCCATGCCCTGACTTGCTCAACTTAATACTGAAACTGTCAAATTTTGGTTTTAATGGTATTTTCTATTGTCAGTGGAAAAACAAGCACATAGACTTACATAGCCAAATAAAACTGTTAGCCTTTTATTTTTATGCATTTCCCCTGGAGATGTTTGAAGGACTAAATTTGGGTTTTCTAATAACTAGTACTATTCACAGGTTTCTGGGCTACTAATAAAGGCAGAAACAGTAGGACAAACATTCATTTGATATTCCTTCAAATACGTCTACAGAATTCTAGGTTAAAATTCACAACCTGAATGTAACATGTGAGTTTACAGTAGTTCATTTGCCATTCAGGATGGTGTTCCTACACTGGAGGACTTCACAACTTAGTGTTTCCCTTTTTGTCATGCTACATAATCTACTAAATCTCAGAAGATTGTCCAACACAAACTCAAGCCATTCACCTGAGCCTTGCCTAGAATCTGTTTTTTTTCCTATTATTTTCAGTCTTCCTAAGTGCCCTCCCCTGCTTCTCTTCTTCAGAAAACACCTCTTTTCCTCCATAACTCCTCTCCCCCAAAATTAAAAATGTCAAGACAAAAAAAAGCAGGTAAAAAAAGCAGGTACAAATGCAGAAGTAACTCACAGATGCAGCGGATGTGTTCTATCGATCATGAAGCAGAACTGGATGGAGCAAATGAAAGCAGGAGAATGGAAGGACTCTGCCCAAGGCCCTGAAAGCACCTTCTGAAAATTACCCTTCTGAAGACACTAATATCATGGGATACTTAAGCAGATGTTATCATCTGGATAGGCAAATTAGCTGTTTGCATCAAAGTCCAGTTCAGCCAAAACATTCAAAACCTATACAGAGAGCTCACACACACGTATACACAAATACATCCAAACAAAACAAAAAAAAAAAAAAAAAAAAAAAAAAAAAAAAAAAAAAAAAAAAAAAAATTGGTTGTCTGGAATTCAGTTGTGATGGCAATAATATGGAAGATGTAATGTGACCTAATGGCAGTGCCATACGAACATACTACAGAAAGTCAGTACCAGTGAAGCCTTGCTGATTAGTATTGAGGATATTGTCCACAAACCATTAGTAATATGGGAGAGCAGCTAAGCTTAGCAGCATTTTGATATTCCTACAGGACCCAAACTATCCTTTCTACACATATCCCAGCACCCAGAACATATACATTTCTAGATACGATTCCTCCAATCTGTGCACGAAGAAAAAATTTTTAAGAAAAGTATAATCTTCAACACCAAAGCTGGCATTAAGAACTGGAGATAATCCTTCAACTGACTGCACTCAGGCTGTCTGTACAAGACAGGCACAGACATGGTAAGCAGGGCCTGCACATGGAGCACCCCGAGAAGCAACGGACAAACACAACTTGGTACAACCCTTTGGCAATGGGTCCCATAAAAATGTAAAGCCAAGCCTAGTTTCAGCAGAGGGATAGACAGAGAAACAGTGGGAATCTTCATCCTTTTACACTATCTGAACGATTTGGGTGTGCTCATTTTCTGAGTTTTTAGAGAGAAAAGTGACATTTTACACCACTGATGAATAGCAAATGACAAGCATTTGTAATGGAAACCTGATACAAGCACCTACACCAACACCTGCAATACGGCAGCATACCCTACTTCCTGTAACCTGCTAGCACATCTTTCAAAGCCTTTTTTCTGAAAGAAGGACGACCACACGCACTTCAGAAACAGAGCTAAATTCTCCCTTGTTCTGTAAGTCAGTACCATGCTCAAATTGTCCTACACAAGACATTTGCAAGAAGGATGCAGTCCAGCAGAGTATCAGAAGCTGCTGCCACCGATTTGCAGTACTTGCCGCTGCCTTTTCTGCACATGGTAAAAGTCTGCAGCTACTGCTCAGAGATCACTCACCAAAAAAGCAGAACTTCCACCCTGAATATTTTGAAGTGCTTTTACAAAAGCTTCCACCTTCACCTATCATTGAAGAGTAACTTTTACACATCACTCTTGAATAAACTCCATAGAAAATTGAAGAAATTTTTGTTTTCTAAAGAAAATGCCTGGACCACTGCACTAGTGGCAGTTTAGGTCTTGACAACTTAATGGCAGAATGCTCTGGAATTACACGCCGTAATTAGTCCTTGATTAGATATCACATGGGGAAAAACCTCCTGTTCCTAAACCCAAAATGCTAAAAAACAACAGCAACAACAAAGTAAGAAGTGCACACTGTATGCTTTAACCAATATTTTGATATGTGCACCCCGACATCAAGAGATGAGAAGAATGGAAAGACTGAAAAGCAGTGAGTGTAGTGGCAAAACACACTTCTGTCCCAACAGCAAAACCCAAAACACATGGTAAAAAGGTCATGGATTTATAAAATAGGTGCCACGTGCAAACGTGTCCAGCAAAACCACAATGTTTATAATTTCCCATGACAGAAATCAGCAGGGAAACAATGCTCAATCTAGTCAAAAAGGAAGCAACACAGTTGGAACCATTCCCCTGAAATTCTACCACTTAATTTCTTAATGAAACCTTTGTTGAAAAACTCGCAATAGGCAACTCGACCTTGTCTTGCACCCTCTCCATCTAGTTTTGGATTACAGCAGATTTAGGGGTCACAAAGACTAGTCAGATATCAAAAATTTTCTCAGGAAACCCCATGTGCTCCTCATATGCTCCTGGAATTAGTATAACTACTCATAAAAGGTTAAAAGCCTGTGTTTTTCCTAACACATGGGAACTCACATGCCTAAGCATCCCTCCAGATAGGGTTTAGCAGGTCACAACATGGATGATCAACAGATTTCAGTGTAAATTACTGCAGTCCTCACCCAAAATGATTCCTTCTATGTCTTCTATGGCAAAGGGAAGTGGCCTCCTATGGAGAGGCAGGGCAGGCAGACAAGAGCAGCAGCTTTTTAGCTTTCCCAGCGTGAATCAAACTTGTCCAGGTAAGAACCTAACACTTTCCTCCGATATTTCTATGGTCCCAGAGCACACTGTTTAAATTCCTGTCTTCTCTGCTCTAAGTTTTCATGGTGTGAAACATGTACATCCCAAATATCCAGGAGTCCACATCTACACAGAAAAAGGTTTTGGAATGGACCAATATATTCTAGGGTAGCATCTGTAGTTTCAGCAAAACACCTGGTTGCAATAGACCTGCTGCCCGAAGGATCAGGCCACTATTCTACTGGTGAGCAGCCAGGAGGGTGATTTGAAAGGTATTCAGCATTGAAACAGTCACCACCTCTACTTGTTCTGCACCCTCACAAAGCTAAGAGGGCAACAGGAGATGCAGTACTTGTCTCAGCAGCACAAAGTGCTGTTCTACAGTCAGATGAATTACAGATCACAAGGGCACACCTAAAAAATAGACACAATCTGAAAACCTTGATCTGAAAGTCATATACTTTGTGATATTTGCAACCTCAACAAGACCTCATTTCTAATGCTGCCATTTAATATTACCTTTATTGAACCCACAAATATGATTCTGGAGAAGGCCTAGTTATGAAAGAAAATTAATATTATAAGAAAAGACATTAAGATTAGACAGATAACATGAGGACTGGAACACTGAAGTCAATCACCAACCATGTATTAACACGTTCAAGCCCTGTTTCTTTGGAGCAATCTACTATAAACTTTTGGTCTTGTTTTTGCTTTCAAACTGAGTCATATTCTGCAAATGCACACTCAGTGTTGAAATCCTTCAATATTTTGCAAGTGGTTTAATTAGCCTGCCACATTACCTTGGAGACAGTCCACCGTGGGAACAGTTGGTAGGTGAAGTCAAGGGGCTGGTTCTGCTGCTGGAGTGACGGGAAGGAGTCCGACCGAGGGTATTGCTGGGGGAACCCTAGCACAGAAGCAGGAAGACAGGGATTAGTAACATGGTGCAATGCACAGGCAGGAGTACACAATAACAACAGGTCCAAATATCGCCTTTGTTTGTGTTAGACAAGCTTAGTGCAGTTTTGGTTCTGGCTCTTGACCTAAAAATCTGCAGCCATGGTTCACATACTCATTAATATGTTCTTGAAGGTACCACTCTGAGGATAAGAAAGCACACGTGCACTTTGCTACAATCCACAGAACCTGCAATTTTAACTATGCAACACATACGGCTTGCAAATATTGCCAGAGAGGTGGTTTATCAATCCACCAGGTTACCCAGCTTCTCGGATACTATTTTCCAGGCTCCCAAATATGCAGACCATTACCCTGGTAATTTAGCAATTTAATTATGCAGCTATTTTCTGCATTGTCTAAAGCATTCCGATTGTGCTTGTTACAAGCCTAAGCAAGCAATCTAACTTATTTTTCCACTGGCCTGCACAACCATTTATACCACAGCAAAATGAGTGGAAATTGCTCCCCAATTCTGACTTTCTTCAGACAAGATCGAAGGTACTAGAGAATCCAGTCCATTTGCCTGGAAGCCTAATGCTGCAGTTCTAGCTTACACAAAGGTCTACTTGTCCCTGTGGAAGTGCAAAGATAGGAGGGTTCAAATTCCAGCCAGTTTCACAAGATTTCCACATTAAAAAGGCAAAAAATACCCTAATCCTTGCTGCTCTGGGGGGAAAAGAAGTTTAGAAGCACACTTAAATCCTCTAACATATTCCTTCAGAGAAATAAAAATATGCAAGAGTTTCATGTAAAACCAAAACATAAGATAATAGGTGTAAACTGAGGAGACCTTGTAGGTCACATCGAAGAGCCTGCAATGAGTAGACAATGTATCTGTTATTAAACTGCTTTCAATAATAGCAGTTAAGTCCAGAAAATCTGTGGCATCAGGGTCTCTGTTTTAACCAAAAGGTCGTTACTGGCAGGATTTTCAGAAGCAAACTGGAAGTACAAACCCCACCAACTTTCATGTGCTTCTCAGGATTTTATTTTTTTTTAATCTGTACTGGTTATGATTATATTAAATTTAAAAATAACTGAGTTTTCTGTTTTAACGGTCCCTATAAAAGCAACAAACAGAAGCCTCTATTGCCATATTGCTTCAAGACAACAGCTACAGATAATTCATGCTACTGAACATCATGCATCTGCAATGGCTTGTCAATGAGCTGCTGCCTTTGGGGCTCTGCTGTTCGCAGGGACAAGGGCCTCTCACCACACTGGTGTTACTGGAGTTCTTGAGGTGGTTGTGCAGAAGCTTGGTAGCACCATCCTGGAATGTTTTTGGCAAGGCACCAAGTAACATGGTAAACTCGGGAGTGTTCAATTCAAAGAGAGAAATCAGGACTATTTGTGCTGCCTGAAAAGAAGAAGAAAGAAGAGACCATCAGTTTTTATTCTTTGAAAAGAGTATGCATTCTGTTGGTAATGATCCTTACAGTAAATTATCTGTGTTTCATTCAAAAAGAAGATTCCCATACTAGACAAGTTTTTGACACATACCTTGTGGTGTGTCATAAGGAATTGCTCACTGCTATAGTTAACTTTTTAGTTCTCAGAGCTTACAATATACTTTTGCATTTATATCATTAACTTCTCAGATGTGAAGCATACAGCTATTCACAGCTACTGAGAAAATCCTACCATCATCACACAGTACACATTTCAGTTGAACACGTTACTGCAAAAACTAACAGGAAACAAATAAAACCAGAAGCTCAGGTAAGTACGAAGAATCTAGGACTTCAATTTGTCATTCCCACGCTTTCTATTTTAAGTGCAGATGGGACTAGTTCTCTGCCCACCCAACCTCTCCTTTTCCTAAGGATCTGATAAGCTTGTTTCAGACAGACAGACAACCCCTGCTTCTGTTTTCTCACCTCAACTTGCAAGTCTCACCACCGAGGCTGTTTCAGCAACAGAAAACTCCATCTCAACTGGAAGATCTACTGGGATGGTGAGAACCACCTTCGTCTCATCCATGGACAGGCTAAACCCCACCAGACTCCCTAAATTTAGTAAGTGAAACCAGGGTACCACTGAAACAATTGAGAATTTTACCATTAATTTCACTAGCCAGGGTTTGTCCTATCTGCCTGGAAGAATAGCTGCCAGGACCTCCACAAACTCCATTAGCAAACATACAGCTCTGCGTATCCTGAACTAAGAAAATGGAATCAAATGGGAATGGAAGCAGAATAAACCACAGAGTACAGCTCTGCAAGAATAATTAACATCACATGTTCCTAACTATACTTTCCCGGCAGCATGCAACCCATGCCAATTGCACCAATTCTGGTTTTCTTTCCTGCCTTTGCCTTAAAAATATACAAAAATATAAAAATGGATTAAAAGAACAATAAATAATGAAGCAATGATGAAGGACCTCTGATGATCTGCAGCACCATCTTCTCCAACGGGGGTATAGCCATTGATAGATCAACCTCCAGAATACACATGTGGATACAAAGCAGTGGCTTAGTCTCACAAAGCAAGAAGCAAAGCTTACACATGAGCTTATTTTGGTCCAGCATACATATAGGCTTAGGAAGAGCAGACACTTGTCTGGCCCTTTCGGGAACTTTCTAAAACTTCCTAAAAATGGAAAAAAGCTTCAAAGAGGGTAAAAATATAATTCACTGCTCATAACTGTACATTCATTCTCATCAGTTCAAAGGAGTTTTTAGTAAATAATGTGTTTGTAAAGTTGCAATAATTAAGTGTATCTGCAGTTCCCTGTGAAGTGGAATCCTTTAGCAGATGATGAACTTGGGTACACAAAAACCCTTTCATAGTGAAGGGGAATCAAAGTACCTCATTGTTTCACTGCGCAAATTGCAATTCAAGCTATACTGTTCCTTCTGCTATCAGCCCCAATTTGCAGGAACACAGCCTTGTATATAAAAACATTTTCCATCCATGAAAATTTGTAAGTAACATCCTTTTCATATGGCCAAAGAAACTGAGGCACACAACACCCAATGGGTTTCCAAGGGCTGCAACGAACAACAGGTCTTCACGCTCTTCGTTCCAGATGGATCATGCTGCCTCCTGTCAAAACCCTTGACTTGAACAGAAACACAGCATGTCATTATTCACTTCACACTAAAGATCTAAGGATGAAAGAAGTGGAGAGATAATTTTCCCCATGGCTTTCTTAACTCCATATTCTACCCTCCTCTGACCTGAAGTTTTGGGCAACTCTGCCATGAAGCCTGCCTGGTATCCAACAAGGACGTGTATTTCTGTCCATTTTGATCCAAGAACTTTTAAGTTTTCACCAGCATAGTATTTTCTGTAATAAAAATATTACTGCAAACAAGAGATCTCAGAACAAAAATCAGCACGTTGAGCTGAATACAAAGTGACAAGTCATGCCAAAGTTCATTCCCATTTGTGAACGGCATGCATATCCCGGATGGTTAGGAAGTGGACATGCAGATGATCTGTGTCAGAACAAGCAGATCTCATTCACTGAGATTAAAGAGAAACAGGAAAATTGATCAAGAAGGTTTCCCAGGTTGAGAAATTGCTCAGACTAGAATACCTGGAGATATCAACTGGTAAGTCAGGAGCTGCCCAAGGCACAGTGAGGCAGAAAAGGACTTAAGATACCTTTGTCCCACACACCTCCCCATCAATGGGGAAGAACTAATCCTTGGAGGTCTCCTATGCAAACAGAGCGAAACGGCTGCAAGAGCAGACGCACTCTACGACGTGACATTCTGGAGGTAACTTTCTTGTGTGCCAGAGAGGTCCAAGATGCTTCTCACAGATCTGATCAAAATCTTCACTAAAGCTCCACCAGGGACTTTGTGATCCCGTGGCTTCACTTTGAAGCAGAGTTACCTAATTAGTACAGTTTAACCCTGACACACAAACACTCATAATACAAACGTTGTGCTACAGGAGTTCCAGCTCCACTTCAATTTTGTTCCACTTTTTTGTTTTGCCTTCAATGAAAATAGGACTGTGTCCACCCTCCCTCTTTGCACAAAATACAGCTTGTCTTTAGGAGTGTCTGCCAGTATTCTGTGTACCCGGTGCTCTTCAGTAGCTTTGCTGTTGCCTGCAAATAAGTCATTGGGCTTTGAATGAAGTGCTGAACAGTTGCTCACAATGCTTACAATTTCACGTGACCTGAAAGAAAGCAGACCTGTAGTCTATGTGTTTTGAAATAAAGCCAAGTACTACTACAGCCTGGGAGTGGTGCCCCAGTAAAGCTCTCAAAAGCAGCACTAGAGCTACATGGGTTAACCTTGGCTGTGTTCTTTTTAAACAGTCCTCGGCCATCCAACTGCTCTTCTAGGTTTATTTCAGGCAAGAGACATTATTTGAAAGTTCAGCCATAATTTCCTACTTAAGATCTAACACACAAAGGTCTTGGTCCCTGCTACCATAAAAATCAAGAACACTGTTACCACTGACCTCAAAAGCTGGAAGGTCCATGCTAGATTGAAATCACATTTATAACATGTTCCAAGTTTCACTCTTGCAATACTTCCCAGTTCTAACACTGAAATTTTATTTCAGTAATAAAGAGCATCAGGAGCAGCATTTCTATACCTGTCTAACAGTTAGATCTGGACATACTTGGTAACCTTTTAAGTTTCATTTACCTAGCACACATTTATCTAGTCAAAGGACATCTTTTACAGATAATGTCTCTAACAATTTTAAATCTGTGGATTTTTAGCTTGTGACAAACCAGAGAACATTTTCATAATCTCAGAATCACTGGTCATTTCTGAAAATCTTGGTCCTTATTTCATTAGATTACTCAAGGAGTAGATAAATTTAAAGCAAGCAATAAAAAAAACTTATTTATGTACAGAACGTACAAACATTCTCCATGCAACACTCGTGCTTGATGATGTATAGTTTGAAGAAAGAGTAACATCTGAATTTTCCCTTGCCTTGGTGTCCCTGTACCATTAGCGTGGAACACTAATCCATCTCCTTTCAGTGACATATAACGTAAACCCTACAGATTACCTAATCTTAATGAAGCAGTTCTCTGCTGGCTTGAGCTGGAGAAACTCCAGTGCCTTCAGAATCTGACTATGCTAGTGAGGGGGTCTGGCTCCACACCAGGTTCTTGAATCATTTGCAGAGGATCGCTTATGTAACTTCATTATTTTCCTTCTAACAATGCAGTGAGGGATCAGGTTCCACAAGCCGGTAGCAGCTCCTGAAGTTTCGCACTTAGGTCAATGCAACTCATGCTGTCCAACAGTGTCAGCTGCTAAAGGGACACAAAAGCTTTAGCAACTGTAGTTTTTTGTTTCCACCTAGACAGCAGGTGTTGGCCAGATTTATCAAAATCTTTAACCTCTGCAACTTGGTTGAATTATAATAAAGTCTCTTTGAAATGGTTTAGGCTCATTAAGCAAAAAGATCAAGGCTAACTGGAAAAATCCATTGATTTTGGAGAGGAAATGTGGTCAGTGACCTAAGCTTAATACAAGTGCCTTATGACTGCTGCTGTTGTTGGTCCAATAGACCAAGCTGAATAAGCAGCTAGTTGCCCAAGCTATATGAAAGCAGTTTTCAAGTTACTCAAACTTCTGTTGGCAATGGGCTTACAACACCGGCAGCCCCATAAAAGGAGAGGACCTCATACCCTGATTGCTTATGAGGGACTACAAGAGAGTTAACAGGAAAGCACATCAAAGCCAAAAATTACTTCACAGACACACTTTTCAGGCTCCCAGTCAATATCTTTTTACACAGCTAGACAGTTGAGACTGCAAACACAATTAGTGTGATTAGTGCACACAGCTTTTAGTCTACCTGTTTACATTTCTCTTCCAAGTTTCCTTCACCGGGCCCTGAGGAAGCTGTAGTTGTCCTAGCTGGCAAATCCTCACCCACCCAACTATGCATGGTCTGGGTTTAACAAACAGGAAAGTTGATATTATTTAGAGAAAGCATAGATTTCAACTAAATCATCTAAACATGCTATCTTTTTGCAGAATAGTTGTAATCAGTTGCTTGCTTAATTTCATGTAACAAAAAGCATTGGTATCTGATTTAACCAGAAGAACATTCCTATCAGCAGAGGGCAGCACTGGCTCAAAATTAAATGCAGCCACCTCTCTCAGGTTTACAGCCATCCCTTAGTCTTCCCACAAGGCTTTGCTTTGGCAACCTCCTGGTGGCCTCCATAACCACCTGAAAACCTCTGCTGAGGTGCAGAGGCTAGGCAGTGCTGTGCTAAGATTGCACTTGCATCTGGCCAGCCAGGAGTAGGGGAACAGGTGCTTGCATCTGCCCACACCTATCCTTGCAGACGTCTCTAAGTTCAGAGGAAGAAGCAGTCAAGAACTTGCAAACTCCTAACTCCAGTCCGGGCATCAG